ATCCCCGGCCCTTTTTTTTTTTTTTTTTTTTTTTGAGACAAGGTTTCACTAAGTTGCTAAATTGCCCAGCCTGGGTTCGAATTTATGATCCTCCTACTTCAGCCTCCCAGTGTGTTGGAATTATAGATATGTTCCACTATGCCAAGCATAAAGTTTAGTTTACAGATTAGATATAGTAAGAGATTAATAACAATAACAAATAATAAAATACCAGCATTCTGGAGGCTGAGACAGGAGGATCGCTGCAAGTTCGAGGCCAGCCTGGGTTACACAGTGAGTTCAAAGCCAGCCTAAAATACACAGTGAAACCCTGTCTCAAAAATACAAAAAAAGGACTGGGGATTTACCTAGTAGCACCATGCCTGCCTCACAGGCTCAAGGTCCTGAGTTCGATCTCCGGTACCAAAAGAAAAAAAAGAACAATTATGAAAATATGCCATAATGTTATTGTCAGCTTCTCTACGCTTGTGCTTTGGGGCCATTATTAAATGGAGTAAAATTAAATTAACATAAGTGGTGTGACACCATGACAAGTGATTTGGTAACCTAGACTGCCACTAAGTGACCAGAGGGTGGGTAATACAAACAACACAGGCAAAGGCATCTACAAAGAGACATAATACATGCCCTGCGCTAAGAAGTGATTCATGCCTCATGTAGAATGGCTTGGGATTTCACCACAGTACTCAGAACAATGCACAATTTAAAACTAACAAATTGCTTTTTTCTGGAATTTTCCATTTAATATTTTTGGATGGTGATTAACTCAGGGTAACTAGAACTGCGCAAGCAAACCACGGAGAAGGAGAGGCACTACTTTAAATACTAGCACTTGCCTTAACTGTCTGAGTAACCTTGGGCCAGCTGCTTAACTTGTGCCTCGGTTTCCTCAGATGTGTGTTAGGGAACGCAATGGTGGCCGCCATCTTGGTTATGGAAAGAACTGAGTGAACTCACATATAGGGAGTTCCTAACTGCCATGAGCCTCAGTAAGCAGCAGCTCCAGGTGTCTTGCTGATCCCCGGCATGACCTCACAAGGCAGGTTCTTTCTTCATCTCCATTTGGCAGAACATGACATTGAATGACAAAGCCAGTCTCACCCCAAACCGACGGTGCTATCCTGCCTTAGGACCATCGCTAGCAGATGCCTTTACCCAGTATCCTGTGCTTCAGGCTCATACAGAGCACTCTTGCCATTTCTAATCCATCTGAAAATCAGGTCTTGTTACAGCCACTTCACAGTTAAGAAAACCAAAGTTTAAACTGAGCCAGAAGTGCGAACTCCCATCTGCAGCCCTCACTCCCTGTGTTGTCATTTAAAATGTCAAACACATTGACTTCAACTTCCTGTAGAAGACGAATCACGAAAGGAGTCTTGGTGTGCACCAAAGCTATGGTCATAAGCACTTTCTCTGGCATCTACTTGTTCGGGTGTAACTTGGGAATTTCAGAGAAACCCCGGCCAGCCCTTCCTGTGTGCAGAGCCGGCACCCACAGAGCTCCAGGTCATTGCGAGCTGGCTGTTCTGGCCATCCATTCCTTGTCAAGGGTGGGACCCTCGCCTTCCTTGAAGTGTGGAGATAGATATCTTGATAGATACTAGATATCTTGCACTGTAGCAAAGGAACAGAGAAGACAGCAATGTTCAGTTGCCTGAAAACTCTCCCTAAATCCAAGAATCAGAAGGCCACCTGTTGTCTGATTCCATTCATACACAATACTCAGAATAGGCGAGTACAGGAGAGGCTGCTTAGGGGGATGGAGAGGAAACAATAGGCAGTGACTGCTGACAGATGTGGGTTTCTTTTTGACTTGATGAAATTGTCCTGGAATTAGATAGCAGGGATTGTTGCCCAACCTGTGACTCTGTTACAAATCATCTACTCGTACATTTACTGGGATGGACTTTACAGAATGTGAATTGTATCTCAAGAAAAGTTATTTGAGAAAAAAACAAAAAACAGGCTCTTGGGATTAAGCACAGAGTTGAGGGGTGGGCAGCGAAGGCTTGGGCAGGAAGACAGTAGTGTGTGGCTGTGACAGGTCTGGGGCACCATCCAGGGCCACAGGCCTTGGGGGTCACAGTGGAAAGGAGCAGTGGGACTGATGCTGTGGAGACACATGGGAGGCTGTGGGGTAGGTACTTACTTGGCCCTTTCCTCTTCAGCCAAAGCAGCCCTGCTTGTATGCCTTCTACTACTGGATCCCTCTTATGGTTTGGCTTGCAATAGGGTACTCAAATTTTTCAAAAACCCCCAAGCTAGCTGTTCTCTCTTTAAGACTTTCTAACTTAATTGCAGTGGTCTCTGTGAAGTACCTGATTTCCATGTCAGTACACTTCTTGTTCTTGTGGTTTTTACTGAGTCCTACATTTCACAGAAGGAACTTCAGAGAAGGGCTGGTGCATTATTTTGCCCCAAACCTTCTTCAGATCCCAGTCCAGACTTTCCTTTGTGCAGTGCCCTGGCTTGAATGCATACTTACTGTTATCTTTTATTGATTTATGAGACTGGGGAATGTTCCCTAATAGAATTGTGGCTTAACATGTGATGTGTATTTAGAAAGAAGTCTGGCATCTAGTTTTATAGAACTATTGTGAAAGCTATTATAATCTGATACTGTTTTAATCTTTCTGGGCTCTGGTGATTTGGTAGAATCTTGCTCAAGGGTATTTCTAGCCAGTGCATATTTCAGTTTCTCAACCTTTCTACCCTTTTTTCCCTTTACTTTTGTTTTCTTATTTTTCCATTTTATTTCCTTCCTCTCTTTCTTGGAATATTTAGGGTTAAATTAATCATACTCCTTACTGTAGAGCATTATGATAGCTGGCCTACTTCAGGCCCCTCTTTAAAAAATAATTTCCTGCAGCCAGGCGCAGTGGTGCTTGCCTGTAATCCCAGCACTCAGGAGGCTGAGGCAGGAGGATCACTGTGAGTTCGAGACCAGCCTGGGCTACACAGTGAGTTCCAGGTCAGTCTCAACTACATAGTGAGACCCTGTCTCAAAAAACAAAAAACAAAAAACAAACAAAAAAAAAAAAAGAAAGAAAGAAAGAAAAAAAGAAAACAAATAAGATTTTATTTCATTGCCATTAGAGATGGAAGACAACAACTTAAATGTGACCTCACAATGGCATATCTGAAAGACCATGACCATCTTGGTTTTAAGGGACGATTAAAGATGTAGGAAGAGGAACAAGAAATAATATCTTGGGAGGGCAGGGACAAGGGGAAAAACTGAGAACCAAGACTTGTCACGTAGAGGTACAAGATCCCAACAATGAATGTAACTGTACTGTATCCCTAAAATGTACCAATAAATTCAATTAAGGCTGGAAAAAAAAGAAATAATATCTTTATCATATGGAAACAATGCATTCAGGGAGAAATTTTATTTATTTTGCTTTTGTTTTTTGAGACAAGGTCTTGCTATGTAGTTCAGGCTGCCTCCAAATCAAGAAGATCCTTTTTGGCCTCAGCCTCCTGAGTGCTAAGATTACAGGTGTGCACCACCACACCTGGCTGGAAGAATTTAAGGGTGATAAAAGCCATCGCATTTAACTCACTTTGACTTTATTAGATGAAGCTTTGACTATCTGCCTCAGTATAAGCCATGGAAATTTACCGGCAAAGTTGATCAAATGTGTTTCAACAAGCTGAACTGTAATTTTCCTCAGACTTTTCTTGTAAAATTGGAACCACATTTCCACATTGAAGAGTAGAGAAAGAACTGGCCAGAAGCTTTCACAGGCAACCCTGAAACATACTTTGTTCAATACACCATCAGGATGGTGTCTACCACCACTCAGGAGTGAGGTTGTGCAGGATGAGGTTGTGTATGCCTGCAATCCCAGGTACTTGGGAGGCCGAGGCAGGAAAGTTGCAAGTTCAAGGCAGCTTAGTGACACCTTGTCTTAAAAAAAAAAATTTTTTTAAAAATACACACACACACACACACACACACACACACACACACGTAAGTAAAAGGGATGGGGATGCAGTTCAATGGTAAGCACTTGCCTGCCATGTTTGAGGTCTTGGGTTTGGTTTCTAGCACTGCAAAGAAAAAGAAAGTGAAGTTGTGCCCTTTAGGGGCCCAAGGGCCTTTCATGTTTGCATCCTCTGTGTCTAACCCTGTGCGTGGTTGTAGCCAAGTTTGCTTATCACTGAATGAAGATGCAGGGAGTGTGGCGCCCTGTGCCTCTGGAATCTCTACAACTCTGCCTGACTCTGAGATCCTGTCCATCTCTGCCACTGTCACACAAGTGCGAGGCGTGAGCCTGTGCCTGCCAGAATGCATTCCATGAGGAGAGATGCAGACCCCAGAAAACTGTCAGTGAAAGATTCTCATGTCGAACCGTGAGGCAGCAGGACTGATAATCTGCAGCAGTTTCATTCACAGGCTAAAGACAATTTACTTCAACAGAAAGTTAATAAGCACCAACTCAGCACCATGCTAGGAATGAAGAGAAGCAAGTAAAGCGTGTGATATGAGCCCAACTTTAAGGTGACTTGTAATTTGGCTGAGTGGTCAGATACTGTAAATGAGAGTTTAATTCAGCAAGTGACACAGACGACTGCAAATAAGTGAGAGATCAGGCCTGGAGCAGCTGGTGAAAACCTCACAAAGGAAGGCAAGCAGAGACCAAGGTGTGGCCGCTGCCCTCCTGGGACAGCTGCAGAGGTGGGGCATATAGTTAGAGAGGGGAGGCTTTGAGATCAGAGAGATGAGGGCCTACATGCTGACCTGGCTTTCTTCTTCCTGCCCCTTGACCTTGCCTCTCTAATCTTCCACCTTCTCATCTTTGTTGCTGAGGGAGTTCCAGAGTGGTGGGAGGATTAAGTGTGATCCTGCCTATGCATGGCCTGGTGACACGGCTGATGCCTACGACTGATGCCCTTGATTGGAGAGGAAGACTGAAGGACAGCAGGTTCAGGGGCAGTTTTCCTTAGTGACAGGGAGTTCTCCATCCAGGCTCATGCTCCACTCTCAGGAGTCCTGGGTGAGTAAGTGTGAAAGTGTGAGAGGGGTCCTCTGGTGGCCACCCCCACGCTGGCCCAGAGTGCTGTGTGCCCAACTGCAGTGCAAGAGGCCTCAAGTGGGTCTATAGGCAATTCAGTATTCACACTAAAAACTCCAAGCACTTTTTGAAAAACGACAGTAGTGTGTTTACTTAAGTCATTTTGCTTCTTGAAATCTGTCCCAAGGGATGGAGGCAGGGTGTTGTTGATCTACAGAAATATCAACCATAGGGCCGGGGATTTAGCTCAGTGGTTCTGCCGCCTGCCTCACAAGCACAAGGACCCAAGTTCAATCCCCGGTACCAATAAATAAATAAATAAACAAACAAATAAATAAATAACTAAAGCACTACTTACACAATTATATTAGAAATCAACTAAATATCCAGAAATGACCTTCACTAGAAATCTCTTGGCAAATTTTTTTTTTTTTTTTTTTTGGTTTGTTGAGACTGACTGACCTGGAACTCACTATGTAGCCCAGGCTGGTCTCGAAATCACAGCGATCCTCCTGCCTCAGCCTCCCAAGTGCTGGGATTACAGGCGTGCGCCACCACGCCTGGCTCTTGGCAAATATTTGATAACCTGGGAAAATGCTTGGGATCTATAATGAGATAAAAACATTAGAATGCTGAACTGTGGGCCTGCTACTGAGAAGGGTCTGAATACTGGCTCAAGTTTGACAGGGAAACCAGGACCCGGGAGTTTGGTCAAAGCAGCAAACTTTGTCTTCCAATGGAGGTAACAACAGCAAATGCCACGTAGATGGTGCTGAGTGTGACGTACATGAAACAGCACTGTGGCTGGCAGTAGGCACAGCTGTTCTTTCTGGTGTTGCTAATGTCATTGTCACTGAGCTCAGGGGGCCATCATTGCTGGACCTACGGGGACAGAGCACTTGGTAGTGGGATAGGACAGGAGATCTCGCTGTACTTAAAAGAGCACATATTGGAGGAGATGCGGCAAAGGACAAAGAAAGAAGTTGGCTGGCAGAGGGGACGACGACCCCTCAGGAATAAAGACAACATTCTACTTCCTTTGAAGAATCTCTCTATCAGGTACAGACTCTCACTTTTCTAAGCTTTTGTTACATAGTCTCCTTCACGTCCTGGCTTGTTCTGCGGGATACTTTCTTAAAGAAGCTTCCAAAATAGTGTTTCCAGGATAAGAGGGAAATACAAGGCACAGAACCTTTGCCTGAGAACCTCAGCCAGTCATTCTCACAGCAGAAAGAAATAGAATCATGGCTCTTTGGTTTGAAGATGGAGCTTTAAGACCAGGCGAGGGAGGCTGAGGCTGAGTCAGACCCGAGACTTGCTGGTGGAGAGGCGTGCCTGCCCCACCCTACTGGCACCCGCAGGAGACCTGACAACTTGCTAGGCTTTCTGTTGGCTCTGGAGGGCTTGGTGGAGCAGCAGCACCCTGACCTTTGCTATCATCCGTGAGTGCAGGACATGGGGAGGGAGATTGGAAACGGCACCAGCCCAAGCCCCAGCCAGATCCTGCCTTGTCCTGCAGAGGTCGCCTGAATGTTTTCCCCAGGTGCGGCCCCGGGTTCAGGAATGCACAGAGTTCCTGAACCCACATCTCACCGGTAGTTTTTCTGTCCTCCCTGCAGTGATGCGGTGCCTGGGGATCCCCACTCGAGTGATCACCAACTTTGACTCTGGCCACGACACTGACGGGAACTTGATCATAGATGAGTACTATGACAACACAGGCAGGATTTTGGAGAACAAGAAGAAGGATACCGTCTGGTGAGAGAGGACCTCTAGGTCTATTTCTAAGGCCACATGTCTGAGCCAAAGCCCACAAGCAGGAAAGGAAGGCAAGACTGTGTCCAGAGCTTGATACCCCTCCCATTCCTCCATCCCTTGCCAACTCCAGGACTTGCTGTCCCCACCCCAGGGCTGGGAGACAGCTGCACAAAAGCAATTTGGCCCTTAGGATCCTTGTGTCACCAGAGCTCTGCACCCTGGCTTGAGGCTTCCCTCTTTGGCTCCTCTGTCATCTAATGCTCAGCCTACAGTTCTGACCATTGGAGGGCTCAAAGTCGTGCCGCTGGACACAAAGCCATGAATGCCCCTCTGAGCAGTGATGGGGAAGGGGCCACGCCGACCTTTTTGAGAGCGGGGGTTTTAGCTTTCACTCTATTCACACAGTCAACAGAGGGCAAGTCTTTTCTGGGAGCCATGGACACTCATGGAAGGATGATCTGTCACCATTCACGCAGAAGTCTAGGCCCTGTGGATGCTAGATCCAACAGTTCCCCTGCTTCCACCTTGCTCTAGCATCAAGACAAGCAGGACAGCTCCTCCCTGAGCTGCATTTAACACCGGCTCCTCTGGTTTCTCCCCCAGGAACTTCCATGTCTGGAATGAGTGCTGGATGGCCCGGAAGGACCTCCCCCCTGGATACGGAGGCTGGCAGGTGCTGGATGCCACCCCTCAGGAGACCAGCAATGGTGAGGCTGCCCAGAGGGAAGGCAGGACCCGCTCTCATAGCACCTGCTTCTGCCCTGCCTGGCCGGCCACAAACTTGCCCCCCAGCTCCACATGGGGCTCTCCTGTTCTCCTCCAGGCCTCTACTGCTGTGGCCCTGCCTCAGTCAGAGCCATCAAAGAAGGGGAAGTGGATCTGAAATATGACACACCCTTCGTGTTCTCCATGGTGAACGCTGACTGCATGTCCTGGCTGGTCTACGGAGGGAAGGAGCAGAAGCTTCACCAGGACACGACTTCCGTGGGCAATTTCATCAGTACTAAGAGCATCCAGAGTGATGAGCGGGATGACGTCACGGAGAGCTACAAGTATGGAGAAGGTATAACCCCACTCAGTGTCCAGTCCTGCAGGCACCTTCTCCGGCCTGCCCAGGGAGCTGCAAGGCAATGAGGGCCAGATTGACCATTCATCCGGCCGTCAGCTCTAATATCCTAGTTGGGGCGTCCCCACTCCCTCCTTTCCTGTAGCCACCACCACCCCACATTCCACAGCCCAGTGAGCTCCCCCACAGCGATTAGAGAGACACTCTCCACCTGGCAGCCCCTCAACAGAAGAGAATCCTTTACCTCTGCTGCCTGAAAACTCTGCCTCCCTCTGAAGATGGCAGACTGCTTGGTACTCTCTCTCCTGATTATTTTATTTTCTTGAACATGCTGTTTAATTGTGTCTTCCTGTTTGGAATACAGGCCAGATGGTCCTTCTCACACATCTGAGGGACCAGCAAGGCCAGAGGAGCAAGCAGGGTGGGGGCTTCTTACTCGGCCAGCAGGGCTTCAGAGGAAGCTTCATTGGTCAGACGTAGAGGAATTTTTAGAAACTGAAAAAGGCCAACTGTCAGGGTCACCTCTGGGGAATCTGGCAATGCTTTCCAGCCGTGGGGCTGGAGACAAGGACAATCAGTTCTCTGTATCCATGGGTTTTGCACCCATGCATTCAAGCAACTGTGGATTGAAATTATTTGGGGAAAGAAATTGCATCCGTACCGAACATGTACACACTTTTTCTCCTTGTCACTGTGCCTTAAAACCATACAACAACTATTTACGTAGTGCTTCCATTGTAGAAGTTATCACTAAGTCTCTCGAGATGCTTTAAAGTCTATAGGAGGAGGTGTGTAGGTTACAAGCAAACACTACACCACTTTATGTAAGAGCCTAGCATCACCTGTCCAGTCCCCATGGACTCTGGAGGCACCCTGGTTGGCACCCCAAAAACAAATCTACAGGTAAGGTTTCAAGTACAAGTAGTTTATCTGGGAGGCACTGCAGGGAATGCTAGTAGGAGTGTAAACAAGAGAGACGAAAGAAGACAATCTGGGGGGATGAATACTGCTTTATTCTAACTATGTGGCAAATTATATTGCTTTTCTGAAATTCACATTAACAGATCTGCATTTTTATTTGCTAAATCTGGTAGCCCTGCCATCGGTTCAGTTAGATGTACAGACATCACTGCAGATTTGTACACCTGAGAGGTGAGGAACCCAGTCCTGGGGGCTGCCCCTTGGGAATGTGCATTCCTGGCACTCCTGATCTGCCCCAGCACAGGCTGGGTCCACTCCAGGGACAGAGAAAGTTTCAGGAGTCATAGGGGCTACAATCTGAAAGTAGGGCCAGTGGGCACCAAAATGGAACACAGAGAGGGTCTGGGCAGGACACTGAGTGTGTTTACGACAAGGCCCATGGGTCCTCCGTGCTTGCAGGGAGACTGAGTTACACTGAAGTGGCCCTCAGTGCCCTGCTTCATCCTGGCTCCTGTGTCAGCAGGCTTCTATCTCCTCTGACCTGGACTGATGCGATCTGGGGACCAAACAGACCACAGGCACCCCGAATGTGACTCACACCTCTCAGGGCCCATTTTTACTGAGCCAAAAGTCTCGAGACCCTCTTCTGCCTAGAGCTGGGCTTACAATTGACTCCCGTAGCAAGAGTATCAACGTGGCCTCTAGCTCAGAAGATTGTGTACTTGCACAGAAAGCGTGAAGCCAGTCCCTGGGGACAGTGGACTCTCAGTAGAGGGGCTCCTAGGGGTACCTGGAGAAGTGTTCCTGCCTCTGGGTCTGGTGAGATGGAGCAGGAGGCCTGGGCCACTCCAGGAACTCTGTTTGCCTGAATGATCTCACTTACCTGTTTATTTATGACTTTTATTGTACCTCTGGGTTTCTCAGTTTACAGGAATCAGTCTACACTTCACCATTTATTTAGTTCTTAAACAGGAAATCACCCCATACTGTCTTTTTTATTGATACAATTTTTATGATACACAAAAACATAAAAATCGTACACATTAATGGGATACCCTGTAATGTTTTAATACGTGCATACTTTGCATAATGTTTAAATCAGGTTAAACGTATTTATCTCCTAATATATTTACCACTCGTTTATGGCAAAAACAAAACAAAACAACCCTCAAAGTCTTTTCTCCCAACCTTTGCAGGATACAGGGCACTACTGCTACCCCTAGTCATGGAGCAGTGTAGTAGCATCCCAGAACTTCTTGCTCTTATCAGCGGACGCTGCTCAACTTCTCCCATCCCCCCTCTGCCCAGTCCCCTCTCTCCCTTGCCTCTGGCAACTACCACAGGAAAGCAACCTGTTCAGATTCCACATATGTAGTACAGTACTTGCCTTTCCGTGCCTGGCTCATTTCACTTAGCATAGCGATTTGAATGTCACAAATGATGGGCTTTTCGTTCTTTGCAACGGATGGGTGGTATTCCATTGTGACAATGTCCCACGTTTTCTTCCTCCATCCTTCAGCTGCTGGGCTTTTAGGTTGTTTCCATTTCTGTGAATAATGTGGCAGAGAACACCCTCATGCAGGTGTGTCTCAAACAGACTGATTTCATTTCCTGCGGTGAAGTCCCAGGTGTGGGGCTGCTGAAGTAGGTGATTTTTCTATTTAGTTTTTCAAGGACACTGTACTTTCCCGCCTGGTGGCTGTACTGATTCACATCCCCATCAGCAGTGTGGAAGGCTTGGCTTTTCTTAACGTCCCCCCTGACACTTATCACCCTTATCTGTTTGTTGATAGCCATTGTCACTGAAAGGCGGTGATAGCTCAGTGTTGAATTGCATTTCCTTGGTGATTATTGGTGCTGAGCACTTTTTCATATGCCCGTAGGCCATTTGTGTTTCTTCTTTTGAGAAACATCTATGTAGATCTACTGTCCATTTTTTATTCTGGCCTTTTTGTTGTTCTTTGTTTGTTTAGTGTTGGATTTTTTATACATTCTAGATATTAATCCCTTGTCAGATGTACAGTTTGTAAAGATTTTTTTTTCCCATCTGTAAGTTGTCTCTTCACTCTGCTGGTTGTTTCCTTTGCTGCGCAGAAGCTTTTTAGTTTGATGTAATTCCATTTGTCTATTTTTGTTTGGGTTTTCTGTGCTGTGGGGATTGTCCCAAAAATCACTGCTCATTTTCGTGTACTAAAACATTTCCCTCATGTTTTCTCCTGTTAGTTGTGTAGTTGTTAACCCATTTGAGTTGATTTTTATAGCTAGTGACAGAGGCCCAGTTTCATTTTTTATATGTGGATATCCAATTTTTCCCAACACCATTTATTGATCCTTTGCCCAATGCTTGTTCTAGAACCTTTATAAAAATCAGCTGACTAGAGATAAGTGGGCTTACCTCTAGGCAATTTTCTCCCATTGGAATGTGTTCCCACCTATATGCCAATACTGTGCCGTTTTGGTTACTACAGCTTTGTATGTAAGTTTTGAAGTCAGGTAATATAATGCCTTCTGCTTTGTTCTTTTTGCTCAAGATAGCACTGGCTATTCTAGTTTTTGTGGTTCCATGTGAACTTTAGATTTGCTCTTTCTACTTCTGTGAAGATTGTCATTGGTATTTTGGTAGAGATTGCACTGAATATATAGATTTCTTTGAGTAGTATGGACATATTTAATAATATTGATCTTTTTGTTGTTGTTGGTGGTGACACTGGGGATGGAACTCAGGACCTTGCACTTGTGAGAATAGTATTGATTCTTCTAATCTGTGAAAACAGAGTATCTTCCCTCTTATTTGTGTCCTCTTCAACTTCTTTTATCAATGTTTTGTAATTTTTATTATATAGATCTTTTACCTCTTTGGGTAAATGTATACCTAGGTACTTTATTTATTTGGAGCTATTATAAATGGGGTTGGTTTCTATTTCAGATAATTCATTATCAAATTATAGCAGTGCTACTGATTTTTGCAAGATGATTTGGTATCCTGAAACTTTACTGAATTCATTTATTTTAATCATTTTCTGGTGGAGATTTTGGGTTTTCTGTATATAAGCTCATGTTTTACTTGGCATGGTGGCCCACGCATATAATCCCAGCACTCAGGAGGCTGAGTCAGGAGGATCAGCACAAGTTTGAGGCCAGCCTGGGCTACCTTAAGTCCAACCTTCACTACAAAGCGAGACCCTGTCTAAAAAAACAAGAAAAAAAAATTCATACCTTCTACAAAAGTGAGTTTGACTTACTTTCCAGTTTGGATGCCCTTTCTTGCTTTCTCTAACTTGTTTGCTTTAATAGGACTTCCAGAATTCTATTGAATAAATGATATAAAAATAGGCATTCTTGCCTTGTCCTGAATCTTGAGAGAGAATGCTTTCAGTTTTCCCCTATTCAGTATAGTGTTATCAGATAGCTTGATATAAATGGCCTATGTTGTGTTGAGGTACGTTCCCTCCATGCCTAATCTGTTCAGTGTTTTCATCATGAAGGGATATTGATCACATCAAATGTCTTTGTCTGCTGAGGTGATTATTCATTGGATGTGGTATATCAAGTTTATTGTCTGAATACATTGGTCCATTCTCAGATCCGTGGCATGAATTCTACTCATCATGCTGATTAATCTTTTCACTGGATTTAGATTGTGCAGATTTTGTTTGGGGTTTTTGTGTCTGTATTAATCAAGAATATTAGTGTGTACTTTTTAATTATGAGCTTATCATCACAGCATCACAGTAATGCTGGCCTTGTAGAATGTATTTAGAAGAATTCCTCCATCTTCTATTTTGGGGGGAATAATTTTAGGAAAATTGTATTAGTTACTTTTTAAATGTTTGATAGAACTTGGCAGTAAAGTCAGATGAAGTCTGGCTTTTCTTTGTTTAGAGGTCTTTACTACTAATGCAGTCTTGTTACATGATATTGATTTATTCAGATTTTCTATTTCTTCCTGATTCAGAATCTGTATGTTTCCAGGTTCTCGGATTTGTTGAAGTATAGTTTCTCATAATAATCGGTAGTGATATCTTTGTACCTCAGTTGTAATATCTCCCTTTCTACCTTTGATTTGTTTTGAGTCCCCCCCCCATTTTTCTTACTTGGTTTGGCTAAAAGTTTGTCTATTTTGTTTATCTTTTCAAAGAACCAGCTCTTTGTTTCATCACTCTTTTGTTTTTTGTTGTTTTAGTCTGTATTTCATTTATTTCTACTAATCTTTATTCTTTCTTTCCTTCTACTAATTTTGGAGTTGGTTGGTTCTAGAGTTTCTAGTTTCTTGAGATGCGCTGCTACTTTCTACACTTTTTAATATGGCCATTGATTGCTATGAATTTCCCTCTTAGTACTGCTTTTGCTATATCCATAGGTTTTAGTACACTGTATTTTATTTCCTTTTTCACTTGCTTTGAGAAATGCTAAATTTTCTTCTTGATTTCTTCCTTGAATCATCAGTTGCTCAAAAGCATGTTGTTTAACTTCCATGTACTATTTGTACAGTATCTAAAGTTTTTCTGGTTACCGATCTCTACTTTTATCATATTCTGGATCAAAAAGATTATCAATATGGTTTCAATTTTTATAAATTTGTTGAGACTCGTTTTTATCACATGTTCTTCCTAGAGAAGGTTCAATGTTCTGATGAGAAAAAGGTGTACTCAGCAGCGGTTGGGTGGAATGTTCTGCAGTAAATCCATTTGGTCTAGGGTGCAACTTAACTCTGCTATTTGTTGGTTTTCTGTCCAGATGATGTGTCTATGGTTCAATTTTGGGTGTTAAAATCCCCAGCTATTACCATATTGGAACCTTCTTTCCCTTTAGGTCTATTATTATTTGTTTTACACATTTGGGTGCTCTGATATGAGATGCATATGTATTTATATTGTTATTTCCTCTTGCTGAATTTACCTCTTAATGATTATATAATAACCTTCCTTGTCTCTTTTTACTGCTTTTAATTTAAAGTTATTTTTATCTAACATAAGCATGCTGATCTCTACGTACTTGTGGTTTCCATTTGCATGTCATATCTGATGCCATCCCTTCACTTTTAGTCTATGTGTGTCCTTAGACATGAAGTGAATTAATTGTAACATATAACTATGTTCTTATTTTTTTACTCTACCCACTCACTCTATGTCTTTTAATTGGATAATTTAATCTATTTATATTCAAGGTAATTACTGATGTATAAGTTTCTTACTATAGACATAATGCAACTTGTTTTCTAGTTTTGTTGTATTTTCTTTCTCCATTTCTTATAGTCTTCATTTGTGGTAAGTGTTTTACTGTACTAGTGTATTTTAACTCCTTGCTTATTATGTTTGGTTTGTCTATTGTAGATTCTGTTTTGTACCTATCATGAGGCTTAGAAAAAACTTTTGTTGATAACAAACTATTTTGAAATGATATCAGCTTAACATAATTATAAACAACAAACACAAAGGGACAAAAGAAAATATATTAGAAAGAGAACTCTACACTTGCATACCAATTCTCCCCATATTTTAAATTTGTATATATTTATTTATTTTTGAGACAGGGTCTCACTATGTAGTTGAGACTGATCTGGAACTCACTATGTAGCCCAGGCTGGTCTGGAACTCACAGCGATCTTCCTGCCTCAACTCCCCGAGTGCTGGGATTACAGGTGTGCGCCACCATGCCCGGCCCCACATAAATTTTGATAGCCCATTTTACATATTTTATATTATACATCTCTTAACACATTAATGTACTTTTTATTATTTAATTTTGTTTTATAGTCTTCATACTAAAGAATTACTAATGGTTTACACACAATGCTTACAATATGAGTGCATTCTGAATTTGTATAACTACTTTTACCAGTGAGATTTATAACTTCTCCTGTTTTCTTCTTACTCATTAGTGTCTCTTCCTTACAGTTTGAGCAACTTTCTTTAACATCTCTTGTAGAACAGGTCTGATGGAAATGCATTGCCTGGGTGTTTGTCTGGAGAAATCTTTATTCCTCTTTCATTTAAAAGATAGCTGTGCTCGATACAGTATTCTTAGTTGACAGCTTTTCTCCTTCAGTACTGTGAAAATTTCATGCTACTCTGTCCTGGCCCAAAAGATCTGTGCTGAAAACTCTGCTGTCAGAAGAGGTGGGGCTCCACTATGTGTTATTTGTTTCTTTTCTCTTGCGACCTTGAGAATCTTCTCTATATCTTTAACCTGTGAGAGCTTGATTATAAGAATTCTTGGGGTAGACATGGTTGAGTTAAATTTGACTGGTGCTGTTGAGTATGAGAAATTTTATGATTTTAAAAATAAGCTTTCTAAAGCTGGGTGTGGTGGCTCACACCTGTAATCCCAGCACTCAGGAGGCAGAGGCAGGAGGATTGCCACAAGTTCGAGGCCAGCCTGAGCTACATAATGAGTTCAGGGCCAGCCTAAACTATAAAGTGAGACCCTGTCTCAAACAAACAAACAAAAAAGCTTTCTATCTCTGTGGCATTATTAATCTTTTTTAACTCCAATACCCAAATATTTGCTCTTTTAGTACTGTCCCAAAGTTCCTATAAGTTCTACTTTATTCTTTTTTTCTCCTCCAACTGTGCATTTTCAAACACCTGTCTTTGAGTTCACTAATTCATTTTTCTATTTCATCTATTCTGCTTGTTATGCCTTCTACTGCACTTTTAATTGCTGAGTGTATTTTTCAGCTCAAAAAAATTTTTTTTAATAATTGCTACCATTTCTTTGTTGAATTTCTCTGTTGGAATACTGAAATATTTCTCTGTGCTTTCTTCAAGTTTGTTAAGTTTCCTTAAGACAGCTGTATTAAATTCTCTGAGAATTTTTCCACACTGATTCTTGTCTGATCTATTTCTGGCATCTTATAAGGTAAGGTCTGATTTCCTGAAAGCTCTTGATGTTTGATGGCATGCAACATTGTTGATGTGTTGTCACTGTTTCAATTCTAAAGAGCAATCCAAGCCCAGGGTTGTCCCAAGTACACTGTTAGTGTGTTGTTCAGAAAGAACTAATAGAGTACCTAGAAACAGCAGTGTGTCACCAAATTCTTCTCCTTGGGGTCAGGGTAAGCCCAGACACCTCTTCCATATTTATCAACACGTGGTAAGGCTCATAGCCCACTAGCACTAGCACAAAACAGGGGCAGGACCAAGGATTATACTACCAAGGGCTGCCATTTGCTGAGGTGGACTCACAGTTTAAGACTTCTGTGACTATCCATTGACACTAGCTGTGATAGAAGCCTAATAGATTGAGGCCATGTGTTCCCCTAGCAATGGAGCTGTTCCAGAGGCCCTGTTTCCAGCAGGCCTGAGGATGTGAACCACTAGGATCTGCCTAGAGTTAGGTTTCACTAACCCAGTACTGAGTTCCAGGGAAAAGTCCTACCCTATCCTGTCATACCTCCAGCAAATGAGGTCTCTGCCACACTATGCTGCCCAGTTTGGGATTGGCATTGATGAAGGCAGTCCCCTGGGCCATCTAGACTGACACTATGCTGACTGCCTGAGTCTCCCAGTTGCAGAAGCCTATACAGCCTTGGTAGGAGGCTGGGTGTTACCTGGGCCCTCTTCCAAGGGTGAAAATGATAGGAGCCAAACCCACCAGCACCTAGATCTCTCTGTCTAACGCCAGGCCTGTCTAGAGGCTCTGTGAGCTCTAGCCTGCAAAAAGGGCCTTCAGTTTCTACTGAGGGGTGGGTCTCACCTATCACCCTAGCACTGAGCTCCAAGACAAAGCCCTGTGCTAGTTTTTATGCCCTGCCCTCCAGTGGGTGGAGTCCTGTGCTCCCCACTCTGCCAACCACTTTCCTCCCACTGGAGAAGGGGTGAGAGGTAGCAATTAGCTGCCTACCTATTGCAGTTCCTGCAGGGATTGGCCTGGCAGTAAGGGTTGTGGGACTCCACCAAACACTGAGTTTCACATGCCAGGCCTGGTACTAGCTTTTAAGTCTAGAGCATGAACTTAATTCCATCTCCCTCCCTCACACAGAAGGTATATCTCTCTAAGCTGGGCTGCTTGAGTTGGAGGAGGTGTGAGGTAGATAAGCCTTTCCTTCTTGCCTTCTTTCATACATCTTTTCACAGGCTCTATGGTCTCTCACTTGACTCCCTTAGCTCTTATAAAGGTAGTTGGTGTGTGAATGCTGTTTAACTTGGTGTCTCTGGGGAAGACAATCACTGGAGACTGGAGACAATCATCCACTGTCTTGCTGTGCCTCCCTCTACTGTCTTTAAGAGGTTTATCTTCCACATTCATGGGTTTTTTTCTTTCCCTTCAGGATGTCAGGACTGAGTCACAAGCACAGATTTTGGAGTTAGGCAGATTAGGTTTCCACCTGACTCTCTCCTTGCAAGTTGCATGACATAGGCAACGACAAACTGGTCTGAGCCTCCTTTTCCTCATTGCGTATAATAATCATCTTTCTGGAAGTTGATATGAGGATGGAAAGATGAAAAATGCTCAGCACAACCTGACTCTTGGAAAATACTTGATGATGGGAGGTAATTCTTCTTAGAAATGAAAATTTAAGTCTTTCAACTCCCACAAGGCCAGTAGAGGTGGTGAGGGTGCAGTGTTCAGCCAGGAGGTAACCTCTGGGTCAGCATGGCCTACAGGAGATAATGTGTTCTACCTCCCAGGTTCCCCCCAAGAAAGGCTGGTGTTTCAGAAAGCCCTCCAGAAGCTGAAGTCTGGGAGATTCCAAGGTACCTGCCGAGCTGATTCACAGCCCTCCAGGCCCATGTCACGGAGCTGGAACAGCCCTTGGAGCCTGGATACACCTTCCCTTCGACCCAGTGATGTTGTCCAAGTCTCTCTGAAATTTGAGCTACTTGACCCACCCAACATGGGCCAGGACATAAACTTTGTCCTGATGGCCCTCAACATGTCATCCCAGATCAAGGATCTCAAAGTGAACCTGAGCGCCCAGTCACTGCTGCATGATGGTAGCCCCCTACCCACTTTCTGGCAGGACACAGCTTTCCTCGTCCTGTCTCCTGAAGAAGGTATGGTCTCTAGATAAAGCATGGGACACACTGGGCACAGAGTTGGGTGTGTTGCTGCTGGGGCTTGGGTCAAGCCAGCCAACAGGGCTCTGAGGGAAGACTCCTGGGACAATATTTATATATACACTATCTACTCCAGCACTGATTCTTCCTCCTCCTTCCCTTCCTCCTCTCCCGCTCCTTTTTTCTCCCTCGTCCTTCTCCCCAACTTCTTTTTATTACCTCCAAGGATACTACCTACTTCAGTCCAAAAATGTGCATTTTGGAGTCATCTAGTTCTTGATTGGAACTTCATGACTAACAGCCCTGAGTGAGCTCTCTTAACCTCAGTTTCTCTGTCTGACAAGCTCGTGCTCAATACAAGTTGGTTCTCTCTTCTCTAGGGAAAAACAACCAGATGCAACCCAGTCCCAGCTGATTCTCCTGGCTACTCTCATCTCACCTTGTGTTCTCTCCCTAGAGAGGACCTACCCCTGCAAAATCCCCTACACCCAATACAGCCAGTACCTGTCAACGGACAAGCTAATTCGCATCAGTGCCCTGGGTGAAGAGAAGAGCAGTCCTGAGAAAATCCTGGCGAACAAGATCGTCACCCTGACTTATCCAGGCATCACAATTAATGTAGGCAAGAGCCTTGCCAGTGGCCTGGGTGCCCCTTGGCTTGGGCTGAAAGACAGGGTATCCTTCTGCAGGAGCATTTGGGCCTGCTCAGGACAAAGCCCCTCCTTTTCTTTGCCTCTTCTGGTGCCTCAGGTGTAGGAGGCTTACTGAAAAGTCTTCATCCTCTTGTGCCACTAGAGGATTTATGGGGCAGTTGTAGAGCAGGACCCATGGGCTATCAGAGAGGTCTCCTCTCAGGCCTCCTCCTGCCTTTGGCCTTCCCAAGGTCAGCATGTGGAAACTGAGCTCTGATGGGAGGGGCTCCGATGGAGGAAGCACCTTGCCTCAGGGTCAGCTCAGATTTTATTTCCTTCTTCTGCCTGTGCAAGGCTGCTGTTTCTCAAACGTGGGCTCTAAGGACACTTCCCTTTCTGAAGTCCTTTGGTCTCCTGAATGAGAAGATGTTCAGGGTCACTTCCTTCCAGTGTTGACTTCCCAAGGCCAAAGGCTCAAGGAGTCCCTGGTGGGGCAACACAAAGGTTTGATTAGCAGTCGGGCTCACGGGCGAGTGTGGTGGTGCGCATCTGTCATCCAGCTACTTAGGAAGTTGAGACAGGAGAATCACAAGTTCAAGCCCAGCCTGGACAACTTAGCAAGACCTATTTCAAAGTAAAAAATAAAAAGAGCCAAGAAGCCACTCAATGATGGAGCACCTGCCTAGTACTGACAAGGCTTTGGGATTGACCTCCAGCACCAAAAAATAATGATAATAATTCAGGCATATAGCATCTTAGCAAAGAGCAAAAAATTTTTAGAGAAATAAGACAAAGGAAATGTACCTTGAGTCTTATACAGGCAGCAAATTGTGAGGAGACAAATATTAAGAGATCTCATGGTAGGGGAGGGAACTATTTCATAAAAGGTGGTTAACAGATTTCTCTGCAGCCCCTCCAGACCAATAAGAGTTTGAGGTTGTCTCAGTGATTGAATTTTGTCCTTCCTAGCAGAAAGAGGAGGGAGAATGTCTTTTGAATATGTGTTCTCCTTTGAGGTAGAAGGAGGTATCATGGTTGGATCTAAAACGGCCCCCTTTTAAAAGTCTCAGGTGTCTGGAACGTGATTGGACCTATGATCATGAGGCGTGCTCTACTCATCGGTGGGTTCATCCACTGATTAAGTTCAGTAGCTGAATGTGCTGCTAGAAGGAGGGGCTCTGTTGGGGTGGGTCACTGGGGGCATGACCTGGGTGAGTGTATCTTGTCTTTACCCCTCCCTTTTCTCTCTGATTCCTGGGTTCCATATGATGGGCACTTTCTCTCCACTATGCCCTTTCACCACGTGTTTCTGCCTCAGAGTCACCTTATCGTGGGCTGAATCCTCTGAAAACTGTAAGCCAGAATAAACCTCTTCTCCTTTAAATTTCAGGTGTCGGGTATTGTGTCCCATCAAAATTTGTTATTAGCCACTGTCCCATCACTGGGACAAAATACTCAACGTGTGGAACTTAAAGGAGGAGAGACGTATTTGTCTCATAGTTTCAGTGGGTTCAGTCCATGGTTGGCTGGCTCCAAGGTATAAATGGCATGGCAAAAGGGTATGACGGAGCAAAGTTGCTCATCTCTGGCAGCCAGGAAGCAGAGAGAGCAGGGAGGAGTCAGAGACAAGAATATGCCCTTCAAGGTCACACCCCCAGTGACCCACTTCCAACCAGGCCCCACCTCCTAACAGAACATTCAGCTACCTAACCCATCAATGGAGGAATCCACCTATGAGTACAACACCCTCATGATCCAGTCAACTTCTGAACACAGGAGACTTTGCAGGGACATTTCAGATCCAAGCCACAACAGGAGGCCAGAGATCGTTTCTTGTGACTACTTGTCTCACTGCCTTCAATTTAAAATAATCCTAGAGCCAGGGATTTAGCTCAGTGGTTCTGCTGCCTGCCTTGCTAGTGCAAGGTCCTGAGTTCGATCCCTGGTTCCAAAATAAATATAATAAGATAAGCCTGATGCCAAAGTGGCATATTTGGAAGTAGCACCTTCTGCCACCATACAAAACAGTGCTGTTCCAGGCATGGTGGCCCACGCCTGTAATCCCAGCACTTGGGAGGCTGAGGCAGGAGGATCGCTGTGAGTTGGAGACCAGCCTGGGCTACAGTGAGTTCCAGGTCAGACTCAACTACATAGTGAGACCCTGTCTCAAAAACAAAACAAAACAGTGCTGTCCTGGATGTGAGGGTGATCTGGCTGCGACATCTGTCACCCCATTGATGGCCAGGGTTGATTCGGCTGGTCCAGCTGGCTAGGCGGGTGTTCTCTTCCTCCCTCACCGCTCCATGTGCATGCTCCGAAGTTGTGTGCTCAGTCAAAGAGGACGACCACCCCGATAGAGGAGGACTGCTTCCTTGGTCAAGGGTATAGGAGTAGCTGCGCTCCCCTGCTAAAACCTCCAAACAGGCCCTCAACACAGTGCTGTCCATACATGTTCAATGGAGGGGGAATGAGGATTAATTTCCTGCTCCTTTCCTGTGCTGGGTCTTTTATTCAGGTTCTAGGAGCAGCTGTTGTGAACCAGCCCCTCGCCATACAAGTGATATTTTCAAACCCCCTCTCAGAGCCTGTTGAGGACTGTGTGCTGACCTTGGAAGGAAGTGGCCTCTTTAAGAAGCAGCAGAGAGTCCTGTAAGTATAGGAAGTGCTTAGCCTTCTCTGCCTTTTTGTCCTGGGCTAGTGCCGACCTTTCTGGACATTGCCTACCGGCCAGGCTCAGGACACTCGAGAAGGGAGAGACGGGAAACAGAGCGGAAATTTGCTTTGGGGCTATCATAGTGCCTGTGGGGTTTTCTGACCCTCTCCACTCTCTGCTGCAGCATTGGAGTCCTCAAACCCCATCACAGAGCCACCATCACTCTGAAGACTGTCCCCTTCAAGAGTGGCCCAAGGCAGATCCAGGCTAACCTAAGGAGCAACAAGTTTAAGGACATCAAAGGCTACAGGAATATAAATGTAGACTTCGCATTATAAATTCAGGGACATCGCTTCTCAGCCTTTTGGCTAAGATCAAGTGTAAATTCTGAGACAGTGAGATTTCAAACTTCAAGTTCAAATGTATGCTATGCTTTTCCCCCAACCACAAAGGAAGAATCTGGTAATAGCTCATGTCCTGGCCATCCGCACTGCACCCCCAAGACTCTCTTCTGCCCTCGCTGTTTCTGTGCTGTTCCTCACAGAAATGTGATCTGGCACGGTGGCCAGAGGGTCACAGTTGGGCTTTACTGTCACTCACTGCCCTTGAGATGTCAAGGAAAGAAGACTGGCTGAGCACCTCATTGTTCTATGTTGCAATGGCTAATTCCCGGCTAATAAATGTCAGTCCTTGCTCTCATCTTTGTTCCATGTAACCACGGCTTTCCCTGAAGAAGCTCCCACCTGTTCCCACCTGTCCCCAGGGTTGCTGGGAGTGTCCTATTATTTCAGAACTTGAGCCTCTTACTCTTTCAGCACATATTTATTGAGTGTCTGGTGTGTGCTGGGCACTATTCTGACTGTAGGGGACAAGACGATAAACATAGCAACATCTCTGCCATGGCGGAGCTTACATTTCAGTGTAGGCAGGGAAGATAGACAATAAACTTATCAGCATATGGTGTATCAGTAATGAACCAGCTAGAAAAGAAAAACCATGCAGATATCCCCGCATACCACCTGCCATCTCTCTGCGTTGGCCCAAAAGCCTGTGAGATCTCTTACTTTTTGCCTTCTCTCAAAGCCCTTCCTCTTGACAGCCAAGAGACACTCACAGTCCTAGTCTTCACACAGTGTCACCTGGGCATTGTAGTCCTGGAGGGCTTTGGGTGGCTGGTGTCAGGAGATAGAGGAATCAAATACTCCCAGGGTTTTCTATTGGCTGCAGCTTATGTTCATGGTCACTCAAACTCCACCCTTTCCAGGTCCTAGTAAAGCAACTGCAACCATCGCCTCCTCTCAGACACACCCCCTTCTTTTGTGGCACCCATCAAAGGTCGGCTGTAGAAAAACACAAAGCACCTGCCCTCCAGGCACTGGATAGGGACTGAGGCAGCAGTTGTGCCATTACATGTACATGCAAAAAATAAAGAAGTTACAGACTTCAATTATACATAAACAAAGGGGTCAGTGCAGTTAATCAGAGAGAGAGAAGGGGTGTGGTGAGAATTACACAGTAATCCGATTGTCCTGCCAGAGACTGGGCTGAGAACCAGGAGCTGGTGCCATGGAGCTAGACATAACCCATAATTATCCCATCCTATAATTATTACATGACAATCATGAGAAATCATTTAAAGAAAACACTCTGGAGAGGCACCTTTCAGAGACAATGACCTCTGAAGTACGCGGAAGACATCAGCTACTGCACCGCAGGCTCTTTTGTGAGTCTTGACTTTAATGCCACTCTCATTAAGTCACTCAGTAAGCACTGAATCTCTGCTAGGGCTCAGGCACAGAGGTAGGCACTGAGGACATGAGGAGGGCCAGGGCCAGCACTTCGGAGCTCAAATGTAAGCATTCGGGGAGAGAAAGACCACAACACACCGCGGGAGAAGCCCACGGGGGAAACCTGAGTGTTGTGGGGGCCCAAAGCCAGCCAGTCCAGCCTTGGGATTGCGGATCGAGGAAGAAGTGACTGAAAGCTAAAGACTAGGAGTTGGTCAGGGTTAGGAGGACAGGAGGTAGATAAAGCAGCCAAGAACCACAAGCCATTCCGGTGGTTAGAAGTCAACACAGGAGGGAGCCAGGAGAAAAGGAGCAAGAGCCAGGTGGTGAAGAGCTCTGGGTGAGGGAATTCAGGTCACCACCATCTTCCGCTACTTCCTCGTGGATCACAGTTGCTCCTGCCATGTCCCTGCTCAGAGTTGATCCTCTTTTGCAAAGCTGAATAGATTTCATGTAATTTTTTTTTTTTAGGAAAAAAAGCAATTATTCTAGACTGGTGATAAAGAGAAAATTCATCCTTATAGAATAACTAATAAATTCAGAAAGAATACTGGAGTTAGAAAAATCACAATTTCACAAACATTCTGGTGAAATTGAATAATTGATAAGAATGATCAAAGGATGCTAAATCCGGGAAGGGCAGGTATGATAAGGAATAGATTTATCAAAATGGTCCTAAAAGTCCTCCTTACAAATCACACACTATTTGCAAAAGGAAAAATAGTGGACATCATCTTACCTAAGTGATCAAAATTAACATCACAAATAAAGGCAAAAGGATGTTCTGGACATTTGGATGTGAAACTTGGGATGTGCCACTTACAGTATTCCCACCCACCCTGCACATCCTAAATCTCACCAGGGGAAATGTCATTGTCAATAAAAACCCGAGGGAGGGATTTCTCCTTTGTTACTGTCTCATACTGTTCAAATAGATCAAAATTACAAAAGACAGGTGAGAAAGGGCAAGGAACTATTCCAGATGAAACAGTCATGACAGGGCAGTGTGACTCTGGACTGGGTGTTTTCGCTGAAGCTACCAAGGGGACAAATGAAATTAGAATATAGACTGTAGAGCTGGGCATGGTGGCTCACACCTGTAATCCGAGCACTCAGGGGAGGCTGAGGCAGGAGGATCCCTGTGAGTTTGAGACGAGCCTGGGCTACATATGAGTTCCAGGTCAGTCTCAACTACATAGTGAGACCCTGTCTCAAAAAATATATATATATATAGACTGTAGATTAAAGTGCTGTGTCAATGTTCAATTTCTGAATTTGATAACTCTACTTAGGTAAAATAGCACACTTGTTCTTAAGAAGTATATACATAGTATTAAGAGAGCAAAGAATAGGATGTCCACTACATATTCTCAAGAGGGTCCAGAAAATATACTATCAAAGGAGAGAGAATGACAGAAAATACACTAAATATCTAAAAAGAAAGCAAAGTGCAGAACACTGCATCCATTATTTGGTGAGGCCCACAGTTCCTCTGTTGCTGCTTGACAAAGTTCCAGCAATGATGGGCCTCAGGTTGAAAGCATCGCTCCGGCTTTTATTTTTGCTTGCACTTTTGATTGGCTTAATTGCAATTATGGGAAGTTTGGTTTTAATGAAAAAACCTGTACAAGCTACTTCTGAGAAATATGTGTCAGTTGTGTCAGTCATTGAACCCCCTAAGCACGACCCCTGATCCAGGAACTTTCTTTAAAGGGGTTTCCAATTTTTCAATAATTGGGGATTTCACTCCAACAAGAGCCCCCCAGCTTTCTTCCAAGTGTCCAATTACTTATAAAAATCCCAGAGAGGTGCTCAAAGATTTGTGGTACAGTGATCTCATGGCCACTAGATGCCCCCCCCCCGTTTTTTACACTAGGGCTTACATAGATGAAGTTAGAATGGTGTGGAAAGATAAAAAATGAGTAAGATATCAAGTTTGCCCTTTGCAGAAAGAATGAAATGTTCAGGAACACAGTGATGTCTACGCACTAAAGAACAAGTAAATACTATTGCCAGGCAGCTGAATAGTTGTTATAGAAAGGATTACTAAGTGCAAAATACTTGCTTTCTGACTATATAAAATAAAAGTTTAACCAAGAAGTTGAATAACCACAGTAGTTCTTTATCAAAACCTACTGACCTGCTAAGAGTTGGCCGCAGTCTTTCCATTGTAGCTGAAAAAGACATGGACTTTGAAAAATGGTGGCAAGCTTGGATTGTTCTTTTGATTTTGCTTTCATTTATACTTTTACTAGGAAATCCTTTGATTAATAATAGCTGAGGCAATAGATAAAATATTCCCAGAAATAACAATAACAAAATAGGTAGTTTATTGGAAAAGTGATTTTAAAAGTTTTTATCAGAAATTGTAAACGTATGCCAGTTTCCATATGTAACCTTTACTGTGATATAAATAAAGAAGTCCTCCAATGTTGGGAAGGCACACCACCTCATACCTACACAGTGTCTCATTGCTTCACAAGCACCGACTCCAACCCTCCTCCTCAGGACCTGAACTCTCGCCGAGGCTGGACCCCGGCAATTATTCTTCTACTTAAGATTCTCAAAACAAACACAGGCATGAAAGTACATATATTTGTACATTCCTAAAATCTTAGTAAACTTTACATTTCCAAACAGGAGAACTAAGTGTTCAGAGATATTAGGAGTTTGGTATAGGATGGAAAGTGTCATCTCTCCCAGAAAAAACAGTACAAGTATTCAACAAATGTGTACACAAATGTCTACACACACATGTGATTCTATCATTTTGGTGGTTGAATACTCGAATGAATATATAAAGCTGACAGGTATTCTATTGGTATTTGTTTATAGTGTTTTAATGTAATCTGAGATTTTAAGAAAGGTTCTATCATTTTTACATTTGATTTACTAAAAGTTATGTTTGGTCTTAATTCTGACATCTTATTTCGTTACAGTTTCTGTATTTATATCTGCTTCTTGAAAAGTATTTTAAGTTCATTTTCTGTTTGGGGATTTTCCTTCTCATCCTAGTAGTTACCTCTACTCAATTTATGACAGGCATTATGATTTAGATAATATAAAGACTACTAACACTTATATTCTGTTTAGAGGTAATAATACTAACAAAAATTTCCAGAGAAGGGCCCACTCACGGAAGGAAGCTACTCAAGGTGTAGACCCAAAAGGTGAATTGTGCGAATCCAGGTCCCAGCTCATTCTCGAGAAGAGTCCTTTTCTGAAAGTCAACCAATTCAATTTTTATTGGATCTCGGAAGCCCTATGAACAGGTCCTATTTGGAGTTCCTTGTATTACGATTTTTAATTTAAAACCCCAAATTAATAAAAGCAGGGGAGGATATTTTTGTCTTCAAAGATATTATTATTATTATTATTGGTACTGGGAATCTAACTCAGGACCTTGCGCTTGCAAGGCAGGTGGTGAAATCAATCACTGATCTAAATCCCTGACCCTTCAAAGACATTATTTATTATACTTTGCATTATCCTTGCAATCTCTCTAGATGTGCATAAATAACAGTATATCCTAGAAACACTATATGAAAAACCTTGTAGATAAATTGAACTGTTAGAACTTTACTTTTCACAGTAATTTTAAGACAATAAAAATGTGAAGTCTATCCCATGCGTGTTATCACATTATCTATAGTAATCTACACATTTTATAGTATCACATATTTATATAAATGGCAATTGGAAATAAAAGAATACCTTTTTGGTTTTCTATTGTAGGCTACAAGTTTTAAAAGTCCTGAACCTATGAAGGTAGTATAGGAAAAATCTTCATTTGAAGCTTCAGAGTAGTCTCTTTACAGTCTAAATTATATTTTTAAAAATCAAGAAGATATTTGCTTTGTTCTATTTATTTCTTTGAAGGCTGGGGAAGAGGTAACAAAACTTTTGTTTTCTACTTCAAAGAGCTTTTCCAAAGACTGGGGATTCGTTTTCATTACACACGAACATAGATGAACACTGTTCTCATGGCTTTTATGACAATCTAAATTCAAGGTCATACGTATGTGTTTTCTGAAATCCAGTATGTTCTTCTGGACACGTGTTTTTATTTACATATGAAGGAAAGGAACTAGCACTTTGGTTTCAAAAACAAATTTAAAATAAATCACAGGGCTGGGGATTTAGCTCAGTGGTTCGGTGGCCTGCCTTGCAAGCGCAAGGACTGGAGTTCAATCCCCGGTACCAAACAAAAACAAAATAAAAAAAACCCCACAAATTCCACTTGTCTTTGATTTGAGACAGGCGGCAGCACCACTGAGCTAAATCCCCAGCAACTGGTCTTTGATTTGGGTCTGGACTAAGGGACTGTTCAGCTATTGTGGCTTCAATGATTGTTTGGGAAACTTCCATTAATTAAGGGACTGCTGATTCAAAGAACTATGCCTCCAATTAGAGAATGTCCACACGCCAAGTTCAGAACAAAATGCTAACAGTCTCTTTCTTTTCAAAATCTATAAATAAAGTAAATTAAGGGGATAATGTAAGATAAGTGCCTTGGAACAGCTGCTGCCATTCCGATAACTTCCTTCTTCACCTTAGTTTCCACTCCCTACACTGGTCATGAGACCAGCGCAGGAACAAGGCTTGTCTGCAAAGAAAATAAATGTCCAAGAGTGGCCCTTGAGTGGCTGCCTGTGCAGCTGATGCAATCCCCGACCTGCCTACACCAGTCACCCAGTATATAACCAGGCCCCTTCCTCCTGTCCCCCCCCCTCTCCCTCTCTCCCTCTCTCTCTCTCTCTCTCTCTCTCTCTCTCTCTCTCATTCCCTTTTTGGCCACCATGCCGCCTGGGCTCCTTAATAAAGATCTCTCATAGGAGCTCTCTCTTTAGGTGTGCGGAGTGATCCTTGGCAGATGCTGGTTTCTTTCAGATAAGGATGACATGAATGTTTAAAAGCCCATTGAAAATACAGAGGGTTTTTTTTTTTCATTAAAGTTGCCACTTATTCTATTTCAATAAAATGCTTATAAGGAAAATAACCACTTAAAGCAAAAGACTAGTTACCTTGTTCAGAATTTCTTGAGAGCCTAAAAAAGAATGAGGAACATCTGTTATCCCTCCACTTGGGATGCTGAGGCAGGAGGATCGCCCTAAATTCAAGGTCAGTTTGAACTGCATAACAAAACCTTGTCTCAAAAAGAAAGAAAGAAAGAATGAATGAACGAAAGAAGAGGATCAACTACCCTCGTTTAAATTTAATCACCTGTCTCAAAACAGATTACTCCACAAATTAGACATCTACATTAAACATCTACAAATTGACAATTCAAAGCAGAAAGTAAAATTATACAAAGCCAGAGATTTCATCATCTAGACAGATGTTTGCTTGTAGTTTTTGGGATCCAAAACCTTTTTCTCCCCACACATCGCACAGATGCCTTTTTTGTAGGAACAACCTTGGCAATAATGAGAACCTGGCTGGTGCACAGAACTTCTACAAATTCTGAAAGTGGAGAACTCATTCTTTCCACAGGGATGGAATCTTGTCTTTTTTGAAGTCCAGGCTTTATTTTCGTTCAGTCTTCCTTCCACCATTTTCTGTGCTGTTCCTTGCACCATCTTTCCATGTGTGAGACGTAATAACAGTACCAAGTTTCTTTTCACATTTTTCGCACACCCTCCTTCTGCTGACTGTCCTCTGAACTGCAGAAGCCCCAGCAGCTTGAAAAAATGATTCCAGTAATTTCAGAAAAGCATAAAAGATATCGATTTCCACCCTGGCCTGTGACCAGAGGCGTTTGCAATCCGAGTTGCTCCTTTGAGAGCTAAGGCCTCCCTTGATGGCAAAGGCTGCTTTCCATGCATTCATTGGCATCTGTTGCATACCTACCTGTGTGCTGACTGTTCTAGGTTTGAGGCATAAACAGGAAGCAGTGTAATAAGGTCCTGCCCTGCACCTACCTGAGTCCCAATCCCCCAGCCTTAACTGAAGGCAGTGTAATTTCTTCCTACAAAGCCTCGTACAGCTCCTAGTAAAAGCAGCCTTATGAAGTGCTTTTAAATTCATTCCTTTTTCTTCCTTGCACGTAGCACTGGCAAATCTGTCCACGAAGGCTCTCTGCTTGCCCATTACATGTCTTTGTTAGCGCCGTAAAGCTAGTCTAAAGTTCCGGGAAGTGGCAGAAGCTCTTATTCCCATCCTAACCTTGGGGATAAAGAGAGGCTGGGGCTGCTTGTGTGGAAAGATCAGGCCTGCTTCCTCTTGGTTTCTGGCCTGCAAGGTTCACTCTCCAGCTCAGTGACGGTGAACTTTTCACGGTATAAACAGCCTACTGAGGCACACGTGCCACAGGTTCACCACCACTGCTCCAGCTTTTCTCCCCCTCCTTCTGCCCACCACCCATAGAGAAACAGCCAGTGTGCATCAAGTGCAGCCTTTCTCCCTCTCCATGAGCCTGACTTCCTGGTATCCGGAGATCACCCAGTACCGGCATCAGGTCTGCTGCTTTTACAGCAGTGCAGACGGAAAGAATTGAATTGCAAAGTGCTAATGCCAGACACAGCCACCTTTCCTCTGACTCTGTAGGCTGGGATCTGGCTTTAGGCTATACAGAGCTTCCTGAGGGAGGTAGGCCATGTGCCTGGCATAGCAAGGATGTTCAGGAGAGCTTTGAACTGGAATAATGAATGAATCTGTGGGAAGGTGAGAAGCAGTTCATCATCAGTGTCAGGCTCTGGATTACCCTAATATCCTCCAGAGAATGTTCTTTTTGACAGGCAGTTCGGAAGGGACAAAGCACCATAGTGGAGCCTGATTTAAAAGTTTTCCAAGATCTGGTCTCTTTCCTATTTACTGCTGTTACTCCTGGGGCATTGCCCTTCCAGGATCCCCATCAAAAGCCAGGTTTTACCAGGCATGGTGCCATACATGTCATTTCAGCTCTTGGGAGGCTGAGGCAGGAGGATCACCAAAAGTTTGAGGCCTGCCTGGACTACATAGTGAGATGCTGTTTCAAAAGAAAGAAAAAGAATGAGACAGAGAGAGACAGAGAGAGAGAGAGAGAGAGAGAGAGAGAGAGAGAGAG